TTGTGGTCATGCAGCAGCAGATCTTTGACCTGCGTCATGATGGCGTATTTCCAGTTGTCTAAAACCAGCGTGAGGTTGGCACATCCTCTGGTTTCACCCTCTCTGCTGCAGGTGAGCAAGCCAGGAAAACAAACTTTATTATTTTCTGCTTTTGAACTTATTACATCAGCAACAACTGTACATGACTTCATTCATACAGGTATCATGAATTATTGTAACCTTGTAGAAAAAAGTAAAAGAGGGAGGGAGAGTGGTGGGGAAGTCAGTGCAGAGCTGCAACTAATAATAGTTTTCATAGACTGTGGATGAGTTTCTCTATAAACTGGCTGGTGTGTAAAACTTGCCATGGGTGTAGATTTTAGTGGAGACGCGGCTCTCCCGGGAATTATAAAACATGTTTGAAAATGAAGGAAGCAGATGAACATCAGGGGAAGGTCTTTTCTCTTCAACAGCACTTCTTTTTTAAAATAACACATAAAGTTTAAGTTCACAGAACCAATGAATCTGAGCCACAATAACAGAGAACGAGCTCCAGCGCTAGGGATTTCTTTTTTCTTAAAAGGTCTGAGTCACTGCTTCTTCAGAATAGAAAGGTTTTTGATAACTAATCCTTAACATTAGTTAGGTAGATGAGATTCTTCTTAAAAACACACAGAATCACAAAGATGCTTGAAATCCTGTTGAAAAACACCCGAGCTGCTGAATATAGCTGACAAACTGGAATTGATGATTTACCATTTACAACTTCCAGCAGAAAACTCTCTTGATGTGTAAACCTTCAGATCTGTTAACATTCACTCAGTATTACCAGGACAAACATTAAATGAGGAAAACTAGGAATAATTATTTGAAAACACTTCTGGTAACATTTATTCTAAGCATCTGGGTTTTATAAGAAATGTATTTATTTATTTGAAATTTATTTAGTCAGATTAAAAAAACAAAAACAAAAAAGTAAAATGAGCTAAAGCTCTGCTGAAAGAATGACTTTTAAAAAAGACAGGAAACAAATCTTTTTGGCTAAATGCATAAATTATGGTAACTCAACTACCAGATTTGTATGTAAAAAGAGTTTACTTGAAACTGTAAACATTTTCAGATGCTTAACTATAAATATCTGAATTCAGTTTCATTTAAATGCTAATATTCTATATTTTAATGGTTATTTGTGCTCCAAAGTGTGATCAGGTCATGGTTAACATTCTATGGAAAATATAAATATAACCAGCAGTAGAGTTTTCCTCTCAAAAAGCTCCCTGTAACGCCGAGCTGATAACACTGAGCTGTTAAACTTGCCTTCATTCCTGTAATCCCACTCCGGTCTCCAGCTTGTTTTCTGTCTCTGAGCGATGCACAGAGCTGCAGACAACACGATCAGAACTCCAGCGATTCTCATCCTGATGAAAAAAAGCCCAACAACACACAAATGAACCCTTGAGAGCTCTCAGTCACCGAGTGTGAGGCCATGAAGGAAAACAGCAGTCGAAGTAGTTAACGTGTAGGAAACCCACCTGTTCTGGCAGTCAGAGGTAAAACAAAGAGATCTGGATAAAACTGATGCTTTTTAATCTGAAGCAGAGGGAGGGTCTTCAGTCCTCACTCCCATCAGCCGGAGCATCATATATCAGGATTTCACAGTGGAGGGAAACCTGCTTTCTATCTCTGTTAACTCTTAAGTTTGAGGGGTCAAAATAACAGAAGAAAAGAGGGTTGCATAACCTCAAGTTTAGAAACAATATTTAATGAGGCAGAAAATGTTGAGAGGAGGGAAACAAAACAGCATATGTAAAAATGTAAAAGCTGGAATATGATCTCAGTCCTTTGAGAGCTTCAGCAGAGCTCTTTGATGTTTTAAGGTCAGCTTAAAAATTCCTGCTCTTCATCTGCTGTCCATGTGAGCTCACAGGAGACCAGCCAGACCCGGATCGCCTCCACAGGGTCTAATCATGGCAATTAAACAGTCACTTTATTAGCATTTTATCTGCATGTAAACATACCACTTCATATCATGGGAATTCACTGAGATGCCTTCATGGTGACATAAATATGTTTTAATGTGTGGAAATAATAAACCAGTTGATACCTAGTTATAAAATAACGTCTACAAAACAAATGTAAGACTAAATTATAAAGGCTGTTGTCCACAGGCCAGCAGACTCATGTTAATTCTTCACGAGCGCCATAGAGCAAGACATGGCTATCTTCCCAGGTCTGCCTTCAGGAGGGGCTCCCAGCGAGGTTCTCCTGCCTGGCTTCACTGACGGTTTTCCAGCAGTCACCAGTCACGCAGAAGTTGCAAAGGCCCGAGCTAGAAGGTAAAGCTTTCCATTTACCAGTAGACTGATGCTCTAACCCTCACATATGACCATGAGCTCTGAAAGAACGATGTCACAAATGAATTTTAAATTATTTTTCTCTGAAAATGTATGGTGTCACCGTTTCTTCATCTCAGGAGGCAGCTGAGGTGGTTCAGCATCTGATCAGGATGTAATACTTGGAGAAAACCTGTCATCTGGCCTGGGAGCACATCAGGATCACTGAGGTGTACGTGGAAAATGTTGCAGAGGAAAAAGATTCCCGAAAGGCTCTGGATAAGCCTGGTGCCACTGAAAAAAAGGAAGCATAGATTCATCCTCCAGAGATCGATTTACGTTGAACCAGGCAGACCAACAAAGCAAAGACAGCATTTTTCCATCAACTCCTTTTTTATTGTTTCAAATCCAGGTCAACACCATACAACTTTCAGGGTCCTCAGTTAGCTCTGTGGAAAGTGAGGAACGGCTGCAAGTCCAAGAGCATGCTTGCTCAGCAAACGGCCCCCGGGTCAATACAAAAGGAAAAGGTCACCGCTGTCTGTCAGCATGACATCAGAGAAATCACGCTCAGGAGGGGCGATAATGATACCACCGGGCAAAAAGAAAAGAACTCAATCTACAACTAAAAATATATCCTCACTCCATCAATGGAATTACCGTCTTACAAAGAAGCACACGTCTCATAAATAGCAGGAATCTGGCGCCCACGACTCGTCCTCTGACCTGGAGAGCCCTATTTTCAAAAGCTGCAGTTCAACTCTACAGTACTGATTACTGATTTCATTAATGTGGACCATTGTTGGGGGGAAAAAAAGTGTTGGGGTGGGGAAAAAAGAAACACCCAAACTAAACCTATAAGGTGGCAACAAAAGGTGGACGGAGCTTATGGCCATAGAAGCGCTGCCTTAAACCTGCATTCTCTGTAATGGCCAGCAGGGGGCGACTCAGAAAGACTTCCATATATATAGAAGCTCCGTGGATCTAAAACCTGATTAAGCAGTTTTCTGCTGATTGTTTGAGGTCTTCTTGAACACGTGATGCTCATTTAGGAAATTTTGTTTGTTATTAGAGTCACAAACAGATTACACAAGTCCCTTTCAGTTTCCAGATGCAAATGTTGCAGCAGAGGAGACCCTCAGCTGGGACTTAAATATTGTGGCTAGGTCCATCTTTTATGTACAGTCTGAAGATGGTGTACATTAACTACTGTGCAGCTTTATGGTGTTTGTGTCCCTTTTTAATGCATTAAACAGGTCAAAACATCCAGAAGTACTAGAAAAATGCAAAGTCGTGAAAGCTAACGTTGGCCACATGTGTCAAACTCCCCAAAATTCCCTTTAAACTACACTATTAACAAAAAACATCAGTTGGTTTTGTTTTTTTGCTTAGATGTTAGAGAAGATTTGAGCACCGCATGTTCACCAGAACAAAGGAGGGTTTTTTTCTTATGATGCTATGTCTTGGTCCCAATATTTGATGCAGAAATAAAATTGAAAACTATCGTCATAAATCAGCGATGTTCAGACTTTTAAGGGTATTTTTAACAGGTACTGGGAATTTTCCGAGCACCACAAACTTCCCTTTACTTCCACAGATCCTCTTTTACAGCCGACATCTCTGCCGGTGTAAGCAGGTAAAATACAGGTGGACTGATTTCAAAAATCACTAATACACCCAAAGCTTTTCCTGCTATAATACTGCAAAGTAATTTGCTGTAAATTGGATGAACAGACTCTGGGTTTAACGTGGATTTTGGGAGGTGGTGCCATCTAGTTTGCAGGTTTAAATTAGGTGTTTCTCCCCCCCCCCCCCGTGTTCACCTGCGACCCCTCGCACACAGAGTGATTAAGAAGAAAAGAAAACCTGCAGGGGACCATCAGTGGAGGAACATCAGTTCTGCCCTGGCTGGCAGGCAGGGAGGTGAAAGTGGCGAGCACCGGTTGTTTCTAAAGCACCTCACGGATGATACTCTGCGAGTCGGTGAAGAGAACAATGAAGGCGGGTGGTTGTCCTGGGGATGTAGTTTAACAGAGACACAGAACATACAGCTGATAAAATAAGAAGCTACATATTGTGCCTGCTCGAGTTCAAACCACCAAATTCAAACGCTACAAAAAACCAGCAACACAAAAAAACAACTTTAGGCTCATTCAAAAAAAAAAAAGGGCGATCATCACCAACGTGTTCGATCAGAGGAGGGCGTCTTTTCAAATTTAATACTGAAAATAGAAACTCTATTTAAGTGGGATTACTCTGCAGCTCGTAGCGTTTCCAGGTCTGAGCTTTGACTGATGATTGTACTTTAAGGGGCTCATCAAAGAGACCTATGAAAACCTGACGGAGCCGAGCCCACTCTGAAGATTCAAAATGTTAAAGTATACGCTACAATCTGATAAAAAACCAAAAAAGAAAAAAGCTTAATTAAATTAACAGTATCAACTCTTAAATGTATTTATACACAGCAAGATTTTCCAGAAGACATTGTGACAGTGAGCGGGGCACTGGTGTGAGAAAAAATCCAAACACTCGAGTCTTCGCTGTTGTCCTGAGTCACAGCAGGATGTTTGAGCCGAGGAGGGCGGCGGGATTATTTGAGTGAAAGGGGTCTCAGCCACAGAGTGCTTTATCTAAAATGTATTCTGCCTCTCAGAAAAGCAACAGTGTGAAGGGATACAAACCAAAAAAAAAACTCTGATTCAACTTTATTTTGACTCAGTGAAATTGATGGAAACGAGCAAATCCCTCTGCACGTCACAGCAGCCTGTGAGATGGGAAGGGCAGAGGCTTCGACGCGAGGCGAGAAAAGAAAAGATCGCTGACGCCGTCAGAGTCTCGCAGCTGGTCCTGGTGCAGTGACTGAGCTCGATCGGTGAAGGGTGTGGAAGCAGGGCCGAGGGCGAAGGGTTTTAACTGCGGGGCAGGCTGCACATTTCACAGTGCTCAGTGCCGGGCTGGTTCATGAAGGTACAGTGGAGGCAGGACCACATGGCGGAGGAGGAGGCAGGAACCGAGGGGCCGCCCATGGCCCCGTAATCCAGAGAGCTGGAGGGCTGCCCACCCACTGTACCTGGAAGGACAGCAGAGGAAAAACAGGATATTACCACAGTGAAGAGTAGAAGTGGTTTTATGCAGCAGCCTCTCTGGGAAGATATGCCGCCATCTTTTCTCTGATCAACAGCTGAGTGGATCTACACCTTTATGAGCGTTCCCACTACAGGAAGCTACTCTGCAGGGACTTCTTTCAGGGTGATTTTCAGGAGCTGATTGGTTAATCCGATCATGCTCATGGTGGCACCAGCAGTCTATTTAAACTAGTATTAAAATAAAACTTTCTACAGATGTTTAGATGCATTTCACATTTCCTGCACAAAGGCAGAGTAACACACAGTCAACATCCTCCTAGAAACACATCTGTCCTCTCACTCTTAAAGCATCTTATAATTAACTTGTCACTTGAAATAAGGTTGAAAAAGCTACCAACATCTTTGCTGTTTCTTCTCCTACAGACTTCCATTCAGGATTCTTTCAGTAATAAGTGGATATAAGTGAGTCAGCTGAACAGCTGAAACAGTATCCGGATATAACATCTGTTTGGTTCTTTACTCCCTGTTTTTAAACTGAAACCTAAGTCTTGTCTATAGATGTTAAAACAATTAACAAGAACACCAAGATAACGAGTTACAACCTAACTTAGTATTAACAGGGCGTCACCTTAGACACAGCTTGTAATACACTGGTGGAAACCTGGAAAATTACAGGTGGTAACGATGGAGAGGTCACAAGCAGGCAGAGTTTATTTCTGTGGTCTGCTGAGTTAAATAATCCCCAATAATCTGCTTACTAATGAGCTCAAATCAGCAGCACACACCATCTGAGTGATTTTCCACTTTATAGAAATGTCTGCAGCTTCTTTCCTCCTGCTGCAGTTCAAAGTCAGTCCAGAGACACATTCGTTTCTTAACCATAGTAGATTATTCATATTTATTAGTAATATTTAATACCAACCATATCAAACACACGTGTGATCGAACATTTTTTGTGCAGTCATGGTTTATTTGAGGCGCTCTTTAGAAAGAGCATGTAAGCTTAATAATGAGCTGCAGTTCAACATGGTGGAGTCTATCTGCAGGAAAAGACTCACCCGGGAGGCAGCTGGTTATGTTGCTATATATTTATGGTTATGTGCAGATGAGAACCTTATGAAATGTACCATCAAGACACCAAGTTTACAGGCCCTCAAAAACAGAATTTCAATCTGTGGTTCATATAAAAACCTGACTTACTGCACAGCTGCTCGATGGTGGCCCACTGCTCAGACTTCTTCCAGGTCTGTGCCAGATCCTCATTAGAAGTCTTCACTGCTTCAAGTAGCAGCCCGATGCTGTCCTGCAGATACAAACACAAGCTTTCATCTATCCGCTGAAAATCATTCAAGATGCTGAGGAGTTAAAAGTAAAAACAGTACACCAGAGAGTTTACGTTTGGCAAGTCTGTGCTTTATGTAGGACATCCAAATCTGATCAAGCGGTTCATTACAGAAAAACGATGTTTGCGACCGTCGTGATGGGCCGGTTTGAAAATGAGCAGAAAGGTCTGAGTGAAAACATCCTTGGAGGAGTAACTACTTCCAGACTGGAGAAGAATGCGGTCCAACCCATCGTCTGCATTACAAATGGGAAATAAATGAAAACCTGAAAGCGTCAAGGCTTTGAACTTACTCTCAGAGGCATGACTTCATTGGTGACGAGGAAGAGGAGAAGATGAAAGTCTGACACGATGTTCAGGAATGATGTGGAGGTGCACTGGGACAGGTATGTGGCTAAACTGTGAAAATCCTGCAAACAAACAAGAAAAACAAGATGAATTATTAAACCACACCTTCACAGTCAGTCACTCAGGCATGTCCACACAGTTTCCAGCATGGCTGCTATTTTTAAATTCACTGTCTGAGAGTTCCTTTCTAAACACTCTGTGATTTTACCACAACACGGGAGATGAAGAGTGTTTTCAGCTATTGGATTTTGTTGTTCCCTGCTTGCCCACAACCTCCACTGTGGGTTGTCTGGAATGCCAGATTTGTGATGGATTCTTCAGTGTCTCTGCTATCTGTAGAAGATAGCCACACAACGGACGGACGAGCGACTGTCTTTATGCATTAGCGTGAAAATAGTACAAAGACGAAGGGGATGAGAAATCAGTTAAATTTCCAAACACCCATTTCCCAAACTGGGACCATCAATCCTCCCCTTAAACCAAATACTTTGATGGCCTTTTTATACCTTGTTGAATCGGATGAGGGAAATACAAGCTCATGCTGACAGTACTTACCTGTGTCTCTCCAAGAATATCCCGGTTTTCAATGGGAAAGCGTTGCGTAGAAGAAAAGGTATACTGGGGGTCCTTTGGAAAAGTTGTGGTTATCTGCGAAGAAAATAATATTTCTCTATACAAGTTTTCTGGAAATTTAGTGTCAGAATATAGTTTGCTGCACTAAAGAAACAAAAAGTATTATTAAAAATACTCACATCTATAATAAGATACTCCACGGGAAGAGGTCGAGCTAGAAACGTGACATCATTTCCAAATTTGTCTTTGTCCTGTTGGATGTGAAAATCAGACAAATCAATCTCAACATCTGGATGAGCTGATAAGTAACATCTAACCCCAAAATAAGTACCTAATATTGATTTTTTTCTTAAACATGCACACTTCATCACATTAGAGCTTTTTTATACGGCACCTCACCTTATAGAAGACGTCTGGTACGTACTGCTCAGGGCTCGACTCTTGAGCGTAGCCCAGCTCGGGAGCGTCTTTGCAGGGCAGTAGGCACTCGTCTCTCACCAGAGCCATGCACTGGTTGGACACCTGATATCCTTCAAAGTGCACCTGGTTATCTGGACCACCTGCACATAAAACAGCACAGAGAAATATAAATAAATAATAATAAATAAATAATAACCACTCGCTGAAAAACAAAAATATTATTTCCATTGCAAATAAATTAGGGATGGTGATGATTTTAAAACTAGTCTTGCAAAGGCAACTGCCAGTCACTAACAAAGGCCCACGTTAGGAGAGCTGTGCAACAATCACAAGACTATCAAGAGAGCCAAAGACAGCAGTGACATGTGATGTGCTGTATAAAGTGGATCAGGTGATCAGGGATCCTGAGATAAGCCAACCATCAATAATCCACAGGTTCCCCTGAGAACCTTAAGCGTTTCACCCTTTGTCAGTGCATGTTGCTAACTGAATGCTCGATTTTTTAGTCACCTTAGCAGCTCAAGCTGAACTAAACAAAGTGATTTTGAGCTGTTTAAGTTCTCCTTAAATAGCTTTCTATTCATCCAGTTGACCACAAAATGTAATCTTTGACAAAGCCAGAATAAAGTCAATCTTAATAAGCAAGGACAACCTGATGAGAAGTTAAAAATATCAACAGAGAAAGCATGCACACTGCGTGAGTGTGTAAAGTCTGTTTAGCATTACACATGCAAGTGATTTACAAACAGTAAAACAGATGGACTTCGCCCCTGCTTGCTGCGAGATGCGTAGCCATGACATCAGCTTTGGCTGCCGGGGCCTCACTCATGCAAATAAAAGTGTTGAGGTCACTGCTGGGTGTTTTCTTGGAACAAATACAAAAGGCGGTGAAAACATTCATCCCTGATCCCGCACAACGTCTGGCTCCTCTGGCTTCAAATGGACGCACATGTTTTAAGTCGTAGTTTAACACTTGACAGACCTTACAGTAAAGCTGTAAACTGAACACCTAAACCAGTTTTCTTAAGATTGTAAGAGTTCTATGGATATATGAAAGGAGAGGCTACAACATGCTGAGTGTTGCATTCTGGGATGTGCAGATTAATGAATGATTTAAGTCTGTTTAGATCAGGGGGTGGGGAACTCCAGGCCTCGAGGGCCGGTGTCCTGCAGGTTTTAGATCTCACCCAGGGTCAACACACCTGAATCACATGATTAGTTCATTATCAGACCTCTGGAGAACTTCAAGACATGTTGAAGAGATCATTTAGCCATTTAAATCAGCTGTGTTGGATCAAGGACACATCTAAAACCTGCAGGACACCGGCCCTCAAGGCCTGGAGTTGGACACCCTGTATTAGACTGACCCAAATAAATTGTCAAGCAGGTTTCTAGGCTTGAGGTAATCTGTGATTGAACCACAAACTTAACTACACCCAGAGTTGCACCAAATCACTTTAAGCCTGCTGAAGTGTGACCTGCAGATACTGAATGTTTTTCTAAGGTCTATAACCGACAGCAGATACAAACAAAAAGAAATGATTAAACTTTACGACTTCCCCCAAACTGCAGTACGCTACTGGCTCTGACGGAAACAGCTCAAAAATAAAGGGCTCTGCTATTTGAAAAACATACAAATACGAAATAAAAATCCAGTTGCATGAGTTGCTGTGTGCCCACCTTTACCTGAAATATTTTTCTACAGGTGTGGTAGATTTATATGACCAAAAAAAAAAAGGTTATCTACCTGCGTAATTGTCCAGTATGTTTATAACTTCAGCAGATAAGAGGACATCGACCCCCTTCTGCTTTTCACTACATAATTTTCCATGTTAACGACAAGTTAGGGTGTGACATGAGGATTTGATGCCACTGTGTTCCCATTGGAAAAGCCAAAAGGACATTTTGGGAAGAGATGCTTTTTTGTGGTTTATGATCAAGTAACCGTGCCTGCATTGATAAAGTAATGAAGAAAATGTTCCCCTGTTTCTCATTCATAAACCACTCACAAGGGAAAAAAAACAAAACAGTACCAACCTGTCGCGACCACAGTCACAAATTTGGATCCAAAGTGTCCGTCTCGAGAAAGTCTGCAGGGATTTGAATGTTCATTCTGGAAGTATCCTGCTGTGATGCACTCCTCCGCGCTCAGGTAATACGAGTCCTAACACAAGTAAGGACATTAAGGATACACAGAGGAAAACACCACAATTAAGACTAACAGATCATCTTTGAGTCAGATGGATCCTCACGCTGTTTCTCGAGTAGCGGACGGTGCCTATCCTCGTATCCTCAGACAGCAGGTCCGTGAAGATCCACCCCACCTGCAGAACAAGCAAACATAATAATGTCCACTCATAAGATTATCTGCTCGAATATTCAGCGATTTTACATGATGTAACAAAACTATAAGTTAAACTCAATTCTCAAAGTTTCATCTTTTTATCCAAATGGAACAAAAACAGCCCTTAGATAAACAAAAACCACAAGACACCAGGTGATACGCAAAAAACACATACACATGCAAGGATTAACATCACTGCATACGCCCGAGTCTTGAAGTTTAAAAATATTTTTGTGCTTCTTCAACCTTTCAAAATAAATTTGTATTTCTCAATACTCCAAATATCCCTGCATGATTTTCTCCCACCACACTAACACATCATTACAGCAACAGCATGAGTCTCCCCATCGCTGTTCCCGTTTTACACGTGAAGGTCACCGTGCTTCACAGTACCAAACACATGATGTGTGAGCCACTAAACAGTGGTGACAGATGACTGACAGCTCCAAACACCGAGCTACACCTGATTGGACATACGCCTGCCTGTGCTGTGCCCTCTGAGATATCAGACTGAAACCAAACTCCATAGAAAGCTTTCTATTAACTCACCACCACGATTACAAAAATAGCCCAATATGAGCTAAAAACAGTGCAGAGAAAGGTATTTTTGAAACTGTCATTAAAAATAATCCATTCATTATTTTATTGTCATGTTTTTAATCTTAGGCTGACCTCTGACAGGCCTTACAGATGTTATTTAATTAAAGAGATTTTCATAGAAAATCTGCAGCTTTAACTGAAGAAGTGCTGGAGTCAAGAGGGTGGGTGGGGATAGAGATCACGCCAAACTAACTCGACTTCTGGGGGACAATTGTGGTCAGGCATGTTATGTACTGCCTGTTTTGAGTACACTCTTAAGTTTCATGTCAGATTTTTCTAGCTGGTCATCCATGCCCCACTTGCAGCAACAGGCTAATCAGGGTCATTTAGGTGTCTTGAGCTCTCTGACAGACTCCAACTCGACACTGACAGTAGTCCCTTTAGTAGCTGGAAGGCCACTCTACCAGGAGAACTAGTACTGAGCACAGTAAAGCTGCAAAGCAGAACAAGGACGTCTGCCAGCTGCAGCCTAAGTGGTGGAGTTGGAATCCATTCACTGGATTAAGGTCTGACTGTAGAGGCATCTATTTTTTGTATATATGTGCATGCATATAGTTCTGCCTGTATGCAAACATGAAAGCAATGTGAGGTCAAACAGAGCACTGAGGGGAAATCAAACCCAACCTTGCACATGCCCAGTTTGGCAGCAATCTCGTCCACGGCTGCAGCTTTGGGATCATCCAACAGTTCCAGGCTGTTCTGGGTGGCATTCTGAAACACAGCCGAGAAAAACAGCATAGTTTTAAATGCAGTTAATGCTCAGTGAGGACTTTAACCTTATTGAGCAAATAAACTAAGACACAATCTCACTTGCAGAGCAGAATCAGGCGGTAATACGCTCAGTGAGAATGTCCCACCTGTGGGGGTTCGTAGATGGCAGCCACTTCCGCTCTGATGCCCAGGGGGATGTCTGTGTGCTCTGTGTATCTGCCGTACAAGTAGCCCATCCTCTGACTGCCCGTCTTCCTCCAGAAGTCCAAGAAGCGGTCAGCAATGGTGTGGTTCTCAAACATGATGTTGTCTACATGTCTGTATTTCTGGGGGGGGAAAAGAAAAACTACATTCACATACACGGTGTGATACTCAGGACTGTTGTTTGGTTTTTTTAGACATGGATCAAGTTTCTTTGAAGATGTGGAAGCAGCCGCTCAGGAGGAGTCTGCATGCTAAAATATACTTGGGGATTAAATTCCCAGTGTTGCTCAGCACTTTGTACTGAAGCTAACTGTAATGTACACCTGCCATTTAATGCGCCTGAAACTTTTACTGTGATCTAAATTATTAACAGGGACAGAAAACATTACAAATGTGTGCAGTATTAAGCAAATAGGCACATTTTCAGTAAAACAGCTGCAGAGTAATCCAATCCATTCATTTTCTAAACCACTTCAGGGTTCTGGAGCTCATTCCATCTTTCATATGGTGAAATATGGAGTACTCCCAGGACAGGAAGGTTCGCTTCAAGTATTTTCGGTGTCATATTTGCTGATAAAAGAAGTAAACGAATATTTCTCCCAACACTTGCTACCGTGACATACCTGTCTGTTCAATGTGATGGCACTCGGCTGGCACTTGGTGCAGATGCCTTCCGGCCAGGGAGGGTGACCCTCGCAGCCTGACTTTATCTTACAGCTGATGTTCTCCAGAGCAGCAAACTTCCCCCTGCAGGAGATCAGAACAGTGTCAGAGTCTGACTTTATGAGCAACCAAACTGGAAAATGAAAAACAGCTCCTCACTTATCAGCGCCACCCGTCAGCTTGCGAAGGTATGCGTGGAATGACATGTGCTTCACTGGTGGGTCGAGGTGATTCAGGTAGTCTTCGTCAAAAGGCTGGAATCAGAAGAAACATGCTTTATAGCCCTAACATTCATCATTTAAGAAACAAAGCACAGGAATGAAATATCTTACCTCTAGCGGTACACAGTGCACACACTTCCCAAGGGCACCATGGCGACATCTGGAACAAGAAAAGAATGATTAGGTATCCAACATCTGCACTGAGGTCAGATGTGTGCAGCTGGTCCTCTTCCTTACAGCTGCGGATCTCTGTTTCTGTAGATCTTGCCATCTTGCTTGGCCAGATACTGATCGATCTCATCTTCCTGGACCTGGGGCGCTGAAAAGGACCGGGGGATCATGGAGGACGAAGAAGAGGACGAGACGGATGGTAGTGACGAAGATGTGTGAGGGGTGGCCGTGTCCATAACCTCCCCGGAGGAGGTGGAGGATTCTGAAGGGAACAAAAACAACATGTCCCCATGCCTACAAAACACGAGAGAGAAGAATAAGATGATTAAAGCTGTGGAGGTCGACAAAGAAGACAGTATTTCTGGGAACCAACACTCCCCGGAGAGGCAAGAGTGAAATTCAGACTCTAATTAAAGGTTAAAGTCTGTTTGTTTCTACTTACTTGATCTTAAGAAGGCTGAGGGTTTTGTTCTGGGATACGAGCTCTCCGGTTTTGTTGCGGTTCAGATAAACCGAAAACCCATTAGAGTTGAACCCAAATTCTTTGGCCACCTGTGGGAGAAGCAGATACCGGATTTTGACAAGAATATCGATACGACACACATTTCATATAGCCTGGAACAAAAACATTGATAGCCATCAAGACACTTTAAATTCATCATTAAGCATAAACGTCAAAGCCTTGTGCTGCCGGGAGTGAATTCTTATCACATGTGCTGGTTCTTGTGTAAAGACAGTTTGCTCTTGAAAAGATACCAATCACTCAAAGCAGATTAGCAAAGAGCGTCGGCCTGGAGGAACACCTCTTTATGGTTGGCACTCTGAGCGGATCGAACAGGAGGGTCTCCCTCGTAGCACTTTTACATCACATCATGTAACTGTAATACACTCAGTGGGATGCTGATCATTTCTCTGTGTGGGCCTTTTTTCCACATACATGCATTTTAAGATCTGATAAAGAGGCTTTAGACAGAACCAAAGGAAACTTCCACAAATCCAAATAGTTGACTCTAACCTGTACTGATGGTAAAAAAACCCCAAAAACTTACATATTGGGTTGTGTGAAAAAAACAAACAAGTTATTTTTGGTATTCTGTGTCATTCTATAAACACTGTTTTACTTGAGACATGTTGCGCTGCATATTTTGCACCTTGTTACGTTTACTAGTTACAGACAGAGGAGAAAAATACTGACTTCAAATCTGATTAGTCTTTAATGGCTCTCTTACATGAAATATACTGAACTGATAACTGGATTTCACTAGAATTTTGCTAAACACCAATATTTTATTTCCTCACTTTGAGGAAGAAAGTGGCATTGATCCGGTGCACTCCAGAACTCTACACCTATGTCTGAAAAGTACTTCATTCAACAACCACCTAAAAGCTATTTTCTCAGGAGAAAGAATGCTCAGCAGAACATTCTCTCCTCCAACATCGAAACCAGTTGATGACGTCTTTAAAGTCCACACTAATAAAATTAGCAGAGAACAGAAGAGCAGTGAGAAGCATAGAGGTTGTCTGGGGATCACTTTTCTCATGACACACCAAAAGAACAGCGTAAGATCTCATCACTATGGGAAAAGTACACAATCAGACATTGTTTTCAGCTCCTCTCTTTTCTGTCTGGCTCATAGCTGCATTTCAGTACGGAGAGAAAACTTTCCATTGAATTGCAAGCTACACAGTCCTGCCTTAACAAATGCATTTTGATGAGGTGCTGCTGCAGTGCTCTGTCTGCATTATATGCTTCTATTTTAGGCTTTTCATAGACAGTGATTAAAATGCAAACGTAATTATTTCCCATCCTCATGTGTAAAATTGAAGCATAACAGAAAAAATTTACCCAGAAACAGAGGGGAAAGTGGCTCTTAAGTCCTTTGGTAAGTGAGACTTGTATAACTTGGGAGTAATACCATTGGTCAGCTTTACTATAAGTCTTACGGTGCCTTATTCTTACCTCACACTGTATTTTACCACGTTTGTTGTCAATTTGCTAAAACTTCCTATTTTTGCTTTGCTGACTCTTGTCACCTGAATACCTGATATTTTACCAATCAAGCAGATCACTTCATTTTTTATTGTCATTTCACCGGCTTCTGTCCTTTTTGGTAAAGAAGGTCTTTAGATTTAAAGTTTTAACTTACAGTTCATGTTTGCAGGTCTTCAAATTCACATCTCTGAAGCCTGTTTGTGTCAGCCAAACTTCTTGAAACACCAAAGGGCGTTCAGTCCTGCAGAGTTGGACTGACATCAAATTAGGAGTTGTCCAAATCTGATGTGAGTCCAGCTCAGCAGTGATTCACCACTGGTGCAAATGTTGGGTTCAACATTACCAGACAGCTGTAAATGGATACAGGAATTTCCTGTATTTTATGCACTAGATTTGGGGAAGTGGATTAAATTATTAACAGGCCTTCAGTAAAATTCAAGTCCTATAAAAAAATAGATTATCTGCTTTTATCTGTGCCTTCTGTGATGTGAAGCAATGCCTGGACTCTAAAACATCAAACACAATCCACAAAAACGCACAGGAGCAGTGGAGGACCACTTCCTACACAGCTTCATGCATGTACAGGCACAAGAGGAGGAAAAAAAACAAAACAAAGCCCACACACAACACATAACACTCCTGTACTGATTGAAAGATAAAACATTTTCTAATCAGTTTTCTTTGTGGAAAAAATAAGAGGCCTCCACAGGTTTTCAGTGTACTGTGGAAATAACGTACAGAAGGCTTGGATCCAGTTCTGGTGTGGAGGAAAGCAGAGAGTGGGAAATTCTCTGCTTTTTTGCCAGCACACGACCGATGTGACACAACAGATAAATATCAGCTACTGATGCGGATAAATGCCATCTTACTTGCTGATATGCCAATATCAGCTAATGACTATATTTGGTTCATATATCAGTACATCCTTATGATTGACAGTATCAACATGACTAGCATATCATAGCCCTTTGGTTTAAAAAGACCTGTTTTGAAGCATCAAGAATAACATTCCTGCTGTTTTGGCCACAAGTAACTGCATGTAATGGGTCTAATAACCACTGAGAGAGCTGATAATCTCCCCTTTTGAAACATGGTGTCACCAAAAGGTCAAAACAAAAAGTTGCTTTTTTCCCAGATTTCTATTGGATCAAAGTCTTTTTGCAACTATACAGTGGCTTTCAGATAGCCTTTCATTCTTCCAGCCAAAAAACTGACCATTTTATTTTATGTCTATTATTCTTACTTAATTTTACAATGCATAGCAATTTAAAACAATGTGGCACCACTGTACCCTGAAGGCAGCAAACATGGGTAATCTTTGTGAACTGGAGATGAAGTGAGGGAGGGCGTGCAGATTAGGATGGTACTCTGAATTTTGTAACTTTTCAACTGCATGAGGACACGGTGTTACTACTTCCAGGAAAATAAATAATAAGGATGAGCTGACAAAGCCTTGAGGTGAAGGAGTGCTGGTGCCTGGCAGTTTATGGAAACACAAGCTACAGAAAATACCTGTTTCCCCTCCTTTACATCTGGAAAACCTGAGGACAACTGTTTTGAGCGCACTCTCCCTCATCTTCTCCCACGCCTTCGGAAACCCAAAGAGGTCATAAGCAGAACAGAATATGATGGCCCCGGCTTAGATGTTATTGTGTTTGTAACTGCTGGACAACTATTCACAGATCATTTTTTATTATCTTATGCAAACATCAAATAAAGCATACTATCTACAGCTGAATTAAAACTATAATGTGTTTACAAGTCTTTAACTAAACTGTTTTCTTAGCTATTCAGTGGGTTTGTCAGCAGGGATCCTTATAAAAAGGCAGAATGGGGCTTAGGAAAGAAGACAGCAGCCATGACTAATTAAAATCCTGCATTGTTCAGAAGTCAGCCACCACCTTCATTTAAAGGCTGAACTGACCCCCTTATACTGGAGTGCCAGGCCAAACTGATAAATCCTGAGGCTGGAAACCGGCCCTTAGAGCACAGAAGAAAACAAGATGCTTGAGTGCTGTTATATTTACCACATTACCTTCTTTAAAAAAGCAGCAGCTGTCTCCCTCTTTGTAGAAGGAATTTTTTTCATCCCTTCTGGGGACTGCACCCTGATGATCTAAAGAAGGGACAGAAATAAACCCACAATTCAGCCGTTACAGTACAAGCCCGAATCCATTGTAGCATTTCAAACACCTGTCAGTCAAAACCAGGACGCAGCTCCCCCCCTTTCTGCCCCCCTCCGGTGTCAGTGTCGGGGTATTATGACAACCGTGACAGTGCAGAAAGAAAAGTCGGGTTAACGTTAGCTCATCAATCTCTGGTTTTTAGCTGCAACATGACGATGTTGACATTGAACTACTCTGGAAAGCTGTCAGTGTGTACTGGCCCATTCACAGACTAACTAAATATCACTTTCGTGGTGAATGTGCAACATCACAGCTCCCATCGTTACCGAGCTATTCGTATTACTGTCATGCTAAAGAGCGGAAAGAATATGCCAGTCATTTTAAGCCGGCCGTTATTGTCGCTCTCCCGTTAGCCAACAATGACTCTTTTCATTCGGATGTCGTCAGCTAGCCTACTAGCTATCATATTAGCCGGCTAGCTAAACAGGCCCTGGTCACTCTTAGCTCATGTTAGCTTGCTAATGCTAGCCAAGCTAATTCTGCTGCCTCATCACTCAGGAGTCCGGCTAACAGGCTAGCTAACGTTAGCCGGAGCCCACCCGCCGCTGTACTTACAATATTCTCGGCCATGCTGCTCGGGTAGGTGCGCCCGGTAGATTTGGCTTTGTTAGTGGACAGACAGGGTCAAAACAAATATTCCGTAACGCTTTTGTATATGTGTGTGTGTGTGTGTCAGCGAAACTCCATCCCGCAACTCAAACACCGGGTGTTGCACACATTAGCGCCCCCAGCGATCCCACAGCGGAGCGACCACGGTCGAAACAAAGAAACTGAGCTGGAAACAAGGGTTCCACTTTTATTATTCTTTCTTTTTCTCCCGTCAGTGACTGCCTCCCACCTGAGCCCCCCCGAGTCAGATCCTTTTTAGTATTAAATATGCTGAAAGGTGGGATACAAAATCTTCCTGAGAACATTTTCAGAGATAGAGGCTCACTACAGCATGTTTGAGCCCTCCTTGTAAGTGCACAACGTTATCTTAAATTTATTCTGCTTTCTGAATTCTTAACAATAACTAACATTTTTCATTTAAAAAATATACTATCATAAAATATGAAGCATTGTTTTAACATGTGGGATGGATAAAACTACTGTCTGGTCTAAGATGATGAAAAGTAGCCCAAACCCTAAACTCTTTAACACTATGGCATGAAAATGTGGAATTTCTGGCTTTTAAAGCTTTTGTACAGTGTTTAAAGGGACAGGGCAGTAATTAAGCATTTAAAGGAGATGTGATGGACTGAGTAGTCAGTAATCAGATAATTTATATTCTGCTTAGTTTTTGCTGTTTTATGTCGCAGTTACTTTTAGTTTTTTTATTTGTAGGTTCAAAGGAGGGTGATTTTATGTTACTTACTGTACTTTCTGCAGCGTTTTGTACTCCAAACAAATACATACGAACAAACAAAGTTAAAAAAATTACACAAAACATAAAAAATTTTCACGACAGGAAAATCTGAAGAAGCACATGAAAGTCCACATATAAGAAAAACTGCACAAAGTGTCTTTAACTGTGTGGTTTGTGTTGGTAAGCATGCAGGAAATGCAGGAAAACAAACGATCAGTTTTCCCTGATTTGGAGAAAGAAATATGTTTTTGTAAAAGGTTTTTATAATGTTTAAAGAAGAAATGTGAGATATTTTTTCTACCTTCCTATTAAAAAAATACCAGCTTTGTTTTGTCATATCTAAATAAGTTTGTATTTTAATATTTTAATGCTATAATACTTTCCACTGCCCTGGGTCAGACCAGAGGTTGTAATGGCAGAAATGAATTATTTAAATAGCTGTGCTTAAGGTGCGATCAGAAGTATCAGTAATGTGTTGATTTGCTGACACAGATTCCAATCGTGGGATCCAGAATCCAGACAAGTTTACAGATTTTATGTAATGTGTTTTTGTTTTTTTCGGGATTTTTCTAGATGATATTCTGTTTCTCTCCATTAAAATAAAAATTGCCATAAAACTTTTGCATGGAACAATCAGTGAGCTCATTACTGCTTCTGATGTTTGTTCTGATGTAGAGCAGTGGTCCAACTATGAATAATTATAGAAGGTGTAGTTTGGAAAATGTATTTGGAGTACAAATTTTATGATTACAACATTACAACTGCATGTATGAACCTAAAGCTGGAGTCACTTTCTTCAACTGTATGTAAATAAAAAAATAAAATTTTATTTATAAAGCACCTTTCTAGACAGAGTCACAAAGTACTGCACATAAGATATCAGATAATAAATGGTAAAACAGACAATATAAAACAGGCAAAAATTAATCAAAAGCAGTTTTAAAAAGGTGAGTTTTGAGTTGTTTTTTAAAACAACTACTGAGTCCACAGTTCTTAAGGTTTGGGAGAGAGAGTTCCACAACCTAGGGGCCACAGTGGCAAAATCTTTATCACCCTTAGTTCTCATCTTAGTCTTTTTTTATAGCAAGTAAGCCCTGATCGGATGACCTCTGGGACCTGCCAGGGACATAGGGCTGTAGCAGATCAGAGATGTAGACTGGTGCCAGTCCATGCAAGGCTCTAAATGACCAGGATCTTAAAATGGGAAGGAAACCAGTGTACCTGAGACTGTAGCAATGGTGTCACATGTGAATAGCTGCAGCGTTTTGCACAGCCTGCAGACAATCCATATATAAATAAAATGAAGCCATCCCGGCAAGAAAAGATTCATTTCCTGTGGTGTGAAGATCATGCACTGCATGTTTTTCCTTTTCATATTTTTGTTACTTTATTATTATTTTTTTTACGTATTCAGTGGTTTAAAGCGGAGTTAAAAAATGTCACTAATAACAGCGACATCTGGTGGATAATTGAAGGCAATACAACTTAAACACTGACGCGGCTTACTGTTTCAATCTCAGGTCATCAATAAAAGTTCTGAAAAGACTGCGTGTCCGTTTTTAATTTCTAATTAATAAATACATCATTGTCATACACTGAAATTAACTTTTTGTTGTTAACTTCAGTTAACAAGTTGTTGAGTCTTCAGTGTCGTCTCTGAATTAAATAGCTGGTAATAAAATGGTAAATTGGCTTTCAAGCAACTACCTTGTTCTAAATACTAACAAGACCGAGACCATGATCATAGCTCCTCCTGAGCTACATTCTAAAATCAGTCAGGTGGGGACAGAGCCTTTCAGTCTGTTGCACCAAGGCTGTGGAACAGTTTACCACTACAATTACGTTTGCTTGACTCTGTGGATTCTTTTAAAAAACAGTTAAAAACTCTTCTGTTCAAACAAGCCTTTTGTTGATCTACATATTTTATATTTTTTTTTTACATTATTTACATTTGATCTTTTACATTGTATATTGATTTTATTGTTTATTTTAATATTTGTGTACAGCGCTTTGTGATTGCCTGTCTGTGAAAAGCACTTAATAAATAAAGTTTACTTACTTACTTACTTACTTACTAAAAAGACACGACATATGCAGACCCACACACCAACAATACTCCGCAAACACTTTCCAGTTTAAACGTATTTAACAGATTTAGACAAGTTTCACTTAAAAACACACCTGCTGCAGCTTCGCAGCTGATGATGGGGTCCCAAACGTCTTATTTTTTTCTTTTCTTAGTCTTGTCTAGTCTTATAACAGTGTTTAAAAAAGATTACGTTTGATTTATCAGCTATTTCTGGGACCGTTTAATAAACAGTGTTTATTAACAGAAGCTTCAAACCGAAGAAAGTTGCAGTGAAGGGCTGATGACGTGAAACGTCACTGGTCACGTGACAGTGGTTTTTAAAGAACCTCGCTTCAGGACAAGTTTCGGTATCAAAGGTGTCCGTGCGGATGCCTGTGCTAATTTATGAGAACGTGCGCTCTGTTTGTGTCCGGCTCTGCTAATACAGTCACGTGGAGAAGAATGTAATCGGCATGTGTTT